TTTTACAGAGTTAACACACCCCAAACTCAAGTTATTGCTTGTCCTCAAGCAACGAGTGTTGATCAATATAAATTATGCTACAACAAAGTTCATTCTAAGACAACTGGTAGGTTTTCAATTTCAGCCCTCATAACATCGGCTTCAACATGCTATACAGATTGATACATCAAGGTCTTTCCTCTAATACAAGGTCTTATGCATGTGTGTGTGTAATTCTATCCCATTTATACTTAGTAAAGTTAGAATAATTCTAGGCAAGTTCTCTATCTTACCTTAGTATTTGTTCAATCTTTAAGCACAACTTTTAATTTTTTTAGATTGGTATTAGGGAAGTCAGCCTATCACAACTATTATCCTTCACTCTAGATGAATTGGAGCAAACATTCCATCCCCGAGCTAGTAGATAGAGTAATCATGTGATTACTTTCATTATCTCGTATGATATGTTGTCATTTATTAAAGAATGGGTTTTAGGCAATGTTATAGCAAATAGGAGTGTCCCTCTCCAATTATGCGGAATCATTTATTCATATTCATCAGCACAAGGGATTTTAATTCAAACCTTTCAAGTTATCATCTTTCTATGAAGTTCACTAATGTTGAAAACATTTTGATGTTTCGATATAACAAATTAAGTTAAATGAATTTTAAGATTTTACAAATGATTTTCTAAAAGTATATTCGATTTAATTACTCGAATATCAAGCTATTACTCCAAGTCTTTCAAGATCAATTTTAAACCTTACTAAATGTGTAAATTTGTGTTTTATAATTAAACTATTTTAAACAATTTTTCACAAAGTATTTTGAACCAAAATCAAGCCTAAAATCAATTTTTCAAGGGCATGCACCGATGCATCAATCCATGCATCAATTAATTTCTTGAACATCGAATGCATTTTATGCATCGATGCATAAGACTATGAATCGATGCACTCAGGCTTTTTCAAAACATCGAATGCATTTTATGCATCGATGCACTCTTAGTGCACCGATGCACTGAGAGTCCAACGGTCAAAATATTTGAATTTTACACTGATGTACCGATGCACCTAGGGCATGCATCGATGCACAGACGCTCCCATCCACTTTTATTAATTATTTTCACACTTAAACAACTCTATTAACTCCACTAATCATCCCCAACGTTTAGAATCACTTGAAGGTGTATTTAAACAAGCTTAGAAGCCATTGATCAATAACAAGAAACAACAAGCAACTAGAATCAAGATAGAATCAAAGAGAAAGCATCAAACCTCAAGTTTGAGCAATTCAAGCCTATTTTTCATTCAATATTCATTTTGCTTTCAAGAACACTACTTGTACTCAATTGTATTCATTCTTGAGTGTTCTTTTCTTTGTTCTAGAATTGTGCAAACAATCTACCTTTTGAGGGTTTCCTTGTAAGTTTGCAAATTTGTATTGTTCTCTATGGGAAAGAGTGTTCTCAAGAATTTGGGGTATAATTCTTGAGGGTTTGTAAGGTTACTCTTTGTCCTCAAAAGAAAGACAAATTAGTGAATTTGTGGAAAATCCTTAGTGTGGATAGCTAAGGTAGTGGACGTAGACTTTGGTTGAGAAACTCGAACCACTCTAAATCGCTGTGCAATTACTTTCAATTTTCTGCAAAAGCTTCCACCAAATTTTAATTACCAATTCACCCCCCTCTTGGTCAATTCTGTCAATCGATTAACTCAACAACTAATACCAATCATACTGAAGCATGCAAGAGTTCTTTCTTAAAACTTTCCTAATATTCTTAATCATAGTAGGCATACAATTGTGTATAAAATTCAGGAGCAAGTAACCGTGTCCTAAAGTTAGTTCTATCAACCACAACAATCATTTATTCAATAAATCACAACCTACAGCTTCTCATCATCGGGCATCATCAAATTTTCCATAAACTATTCTAAACCAAACAAATGTTATAACAAATATTTTGTTAAACAAAATACTGACGCAAATAATTAAATATAACACCACCTCCCCCAAACTCGAGAGATACAGTGTCCTCAATACATGGAAACTAAAATATATGCAATGCAAATGCAACATGTGGAACCTCATTTTGGTGGACATATTATCTTTCTGGTCGTATGCTTCACATGCTTCTTGCGAAGGGCTGCAATGGGTTGTTCAGTATCGCATGGTGTTGAAGATGGGTTGTCCTCGATGGCCTCATCATTCTCCTCAGTAGGAGAGTTCCATATTATTCATGTAGTTCGTTTCAGATGATACTTAGTCCATGGAGTGGTCTTGGGTGGTGCGACAAGTGTAGGATCAGGGTTGGTGTTAATATTTTCATCATCGTCACTGTCCACCGTGATAAGTTCTTATTCAGTCGCTTATGATGTTGGAGTGTGTATGGGAGCTTTGGCTTTGTCTTGCTGCAAAAAAGGTTGATGTGCAGTTGTTTCAGCACTGACACTATCTTGCATTATGTCCTTTGGAAGGGGTGCAACTTCACTTGGTTGTGGAGGTGTTTTCACTGGCGCAAGTAAGGAGTTCGGGAATAGAAGGAAGTCAGCAGTTACTTACAACAACATTTCTTGAAAACAGTTGTTTAACACCGAATCCCTCTCCTTGACGTAGGCGAAAAAGGTTCGTAGATTCTTCTTGAGTTCCTCCAGCTCCCCCTCCTGGTTTGTGTTGAGGCCACCGCTGAGGTTAATCATGTTGTAGCAAAAGTTTTGTAGTAGGCATACAATTGTGTATAAAATTCAGGAGCAAGTAACTGTGTCCTAAAGTTAGTTCTATCAACCACAACAATCATTTATTCAATAAATCACAACCTACAGCTTCACATCATCGGGCATCATCAAATTTTCCATAAACTATTCTAAACCAAACAAATGTTATAACAAATATTTTGTTAAACAAAACGCTAATGCAAATGATTAACTATAACACCACCTCCCCCAAACTCGAGAGATGCAGTATCCTCAATACATGGAAACTAAAATATATACAATACAAATGCAACATGTGAAACCTCATTTTGGTGTACATATTGTCTTTCTGGTCGTATGCTTCACATGCTTCTTGCGAAGGGTTGCAATGGGTTATTCAATATCGCATGGTGTTGAAGATGGGTTGTCCTCGATGGCCTCATCATTCTCCTCAGTAGGAGAGTTCAATATTATTCCTGTAGTTCGTTTCAGACGATACTTAGTCCATGGAGTGGTATTGGGTGGTGCGATAAGTGTAGGATCAGGGTTGGTGTTGATATTTTCATCATCGTCACTGTCTACCGTGATAAGTTCTTATTCAGTCGCTTATGATGTTGGAGTGTATATGGGAGCTTTGGCTTTGTCTTGTTGCAAAAAAGGTTGATGTGCAGTTGCTTCAGCACTGGCACTATGTTGCATTATGTCCTTTGGAAGGGGTGCAACTTCACTTGGTTGTGGAGGTGTTTTCACTGGCGTAAGTAAAGAGTTCGGGAATAGAGGGAAGTCAGCAGTTACTTACAACAACATTTCTTGAAAATAGTTGTTTAACACCGAATCCCTCTCCTTGACGTAGGCAAAAAAGGTTCGTAGATTCTTCTTGAGTTCCTCCAGCTCCCCCTCCTGGTTTGTGTTGAGGCCACCGCTGAGGTTAATCATGTTGTAGCAAAAGTTTTGGCTCATCCTTCCAATGTTTGCGCTGGAGCATCTTGATTAAATCCCTTTAGGCTTGGGATCTTCTTAGGGGTTAATCATTCCTTCCCTGGTAGAATCTCGTCAATGTTGTCTTCATACACTTCCTTGGATCTGCAGTAAGCAATAATGAGATTAGGAAAAAACCAGAGGGATCAATTTTCTTTTTAAATAATCGTAGATTTCATCAATTATAATCTTGCCAACATCGACACGTCTACCCATCACAATGGAATACAACAACATTCTCTGTAAAAAAATAGTGGTGTGGTGAGAGATTGCCATTAGACGCGATTTTAAAAAGTGGTTCCACAGCTTGGCATTGGGCTTTAGTTTTGCCCACTCAACCGTCATCTTGTTAGCGACCGTCACTCCTTACTGTATATGAACCTGTGTGTTCCTTGCCGTAAACCTTCACATCTTGTTAGCGACCGTCACTCCTTACTGTATATGAACCTATGTGTTCCTTGCCGTAAACCTTCACATCTTGTTAGCGACCGTCACTCCTTACTGTATATAAACCTGTGTGTTCCTTGCCGTAAACCTTCACATCTTGTTGATCGACTTTGGTCACTAATTTAAAAATTAAGGAGAAATGGTTGCTGACATTATTTATTCATTCAATTTTAGTCTCTCAATCATTAATTTTCATTAACATTTTTTTGTTCAAGTCCGTAACATGACTGAGGGACTAAAATAGAATGAGATTTAACGATTGAGAGACTAAAATAAAACATATCGATAATACTAAATACTAAAATAGAACAGATCGATAACGCTAAGAATTACTTATTCTTAATTTTTAAATTAGTGAATAAAATATGCAGACATAAGGAATTATCTCCATAGTTTACCCGTTCTGTTTTGCATGCAATTCCACGGACGAGGACAAAAATGTGCACACCTTATACAAAATTTACTTCATACATAGTCCTCGCTATATCTAAGAACTCGAAGAGTGACTTGTGAATTAGCTACCCTTTAATTGAAATCCCGGCTTTAATGCACATGTGATCACCGTCAAATCATTTATGAAATATCCCTTCCCTAACCCAGGGTTTCCCGAGAAAATTTTTCTGTACTTTTATAGATGTCAATAAAGTCTATCATGTGCAGATGTCTACAATCAACTTCAAAATTTTGAGCTTTTGGCTGTTTCTTTACATTGAATTTTTACCCAGATCAGTTCCAAACCGACACTTTCCAGTCAAATTCATGTACATTCTGACACCATTAGAGTAGATTACAAAAACCGAAGCATGCATGTATCTTTCAACAACAGGATCTTGCAGAAAGAATGCAACGAGAAAACAAGAAGTAAAAAGAAAATTAAGCCAGAAAATTACTTGGAGATTCAACTCATGATGTGAAATTTGATCGAATGGGGCTCTTCTGCTTCAGTAGAATCCTCAGCTGAGCCATTTGGCACTCGAGCTTTGAACCCCAATGCCTGCTTTTGATCCATTGATTGTCCGACCGAACCACTCTTGGAAATTCAACGAACCCCTTTATCCCTCTCTTTATGTGAGGATTCTCAGTTTCTGGGGATTCTTTTCGCTGAATCGCCATTGATGAAGACATAGTTACACCAGTACTACATGTTGACGACTTTTCAGCGGTGGATGACGGTGGTTTATCGTGTTTATCAGCCGCCGCCGGCGGTCGTTTAGTTTCCTGCAACGCTAATAACTTTTCCTCGAAGAGAATCTTGGCCTCGGCCATCTTTATTTGAACCATCTCTTCCCTAATAATTTCAGCCATCTTTAGCATGTTTCTTTCTTCCTCGAAATCTCTTTTCATTTTATCGATCTCAGCTTTATCCATCGAAATCTCTCGGGCAAACTTATCACATACGCTCTCCAATGCTTCTCTCCCCATTCTTTGCTCGGCTAGCTCTTTAGCCAGTTTCTTGTTGAGTGACTCCGGCTTTTTACGAGCTTCAATTTCGTGCTCAAGCTCTGCTTGCAAATCAATGACCTGGGCTCGAGCAATATCCAGTTCAGAATCCATAACTGATGTAAGATCCCAGAAAGGGAAGTTGATTTGATGATGTGGATGCTTACCGCTCAGCCATAGTTGTTGATGATGCGGACAATAAAAAGGGTTGTCATAAACTTTCCAGGTAGTGCAAGTGGAAGCCTCATTGATTTGATTATTAGGGCTGCTGCTGCTCATCATCATCATCATCATCATCATCATCATCATCTCCTCCATCTCTTCTCCTTTCATTCTCTCTATAGATCAAGCTTGTTTTTGCCTTTCTCTCTCCTTTTCCGAATGGGGGTTTTCCTTGTCAATAAAGCAATTAGGGTAGCCCCTTTGCTTCGAAGATCATGTGCATTGTAAAAGCAATACAAACATATATATACCATCGGTCCACATCTATGGTTAGATGGCCAAAATTTCTAGAAAGTACGCTGACTATTTATGCACTACATACGGCTGGAAAACAATATCCTACTGTTACTGATAGATTGGTGTGAAATAGGATAGGTTTTAACCAGTAACTTTCAACACAATTAATAATCATAGTTATTTTTTATTAATGTAAAGATGATTATAAAATAATTTCTGATATAAATTTTTTTAATTTTCAATCATCCCTATGATAATTGGTGCTTAAATTCAGACCATTTAAAAATAACAATCATTCTTTTAATTATTAAAGTAATTTATTTAGTATACTGATCAATATTTTTTTTATGTTAATAGAAGCCCTAATTTTATTGAAAAATATGAAACATTTACAACTATAATAAAATTTATAATTATAAATACAAATTAAATAAATAATTAAAATGTCTTTTAATTATTACATAAAAATTAATAATTTAAGATTATTTAAGAATTATACAAAAAATTATAAAAAATTCATCTTAAAAATTCAAATAAAAAGTTGATACCAATAGATTTTAATTACATCGACAACCAATCAGTAATTTTAAAAGAGGAAGAAAGTGTGAAATTATATAGGAGAAAATAACTTCAGTGACCGAAAATCCTTTATAATATATGATTTTAATCAATTTTTTTTATTTACGAAAATAATTAACAAATTCGCAACGCTAACTCTAGTTTCGCAATACAGTTTTCAAAATCGCAACGTGATTATCTAAAATAGCAACACGAATTTCGTTTTCGCAACGCTAATTACCGATACAGGTAAACACAACTATTTGCAATTTGAAATCGCGAATTTCGTTTTCGCAACGTTAATTACCGATATAGGTAAACACAACTCAGTTTTTAAATTATCGAATTCGGATTTTTACCGGATTTTTTCTACCGAATTTACCTATATCTGTAATTTAGTTGCGAAATTGACGAATTCGAGTTGCGAATTTTGATTTTCGCATTGTGAAAACGAAATTCGCGTTGCGAATTTGAAAACTAAGTTGTGAATAGTTGTGTTTACTTATAACGGTAATTAGCGTTGCGAAAACGAAATTCGCGTTATGAATTTGAAAACTGAGTTGTGTGTTTACCTATATCGGTAATTAGCGTTGCGAAAAGTGAATTTGAAAACCGTGTTACGATTTTAAAGAATCGCGTTGCGAATTTATAAACTATGTTACGAAACTAGTGTTCGCGTTACGAATTTAACCGAAGTTATTTCCTCTATTATATAGTTATATGGGAAAATCCAGTGTAATAAATATGTTTGGACCATCCATTAATATTCTACTTCTTGTCACCGATGTGGGACCTCTCTGGCCCGGAGAATTTACACCTCTGACATGATGGTGAGAACTAATAATGCTATTGAAAAAATACTAGGGAAATGAGGATTGTATAAATTTATTTTTAAAAATAAATAAAGATATGGTAATTGGTGAAGATATTGATAGTAGAGGACGATGTTGATAGAGTTTGATAGTTCGGGGATAATTTAAAATTTTAAAAAATATAAAGGTAAAACTTTTAAAAAATTTAAAGAGTTTATTTTTTTTGAAAAATTAGTGTCTAATTCATTTTTTTAAAATTGATAGACTTAATGGGAATTTTCAAAAATTATGAAAGTGATTTGATTTAGAATATTTATAAATTTTAATTTTAATATGAAGCTGTAAAGATTTTGTAGAGACCCACTAGTCATGAATAGTTAAAGATAATTTTAATAAAATTGTCAATAATTGAAGACGACGTTACTAATTTATGTAATTTTTAAATAATTAATTTTACGTAATAAATAAAAAATAAAAAATAATTATAATCTGATATCTTGTATACAAACTAAAATAAATTAATTACATTAATAAAAATGAGATCATACAAAACAATTAAAAAATCGATCAAATAAATTGAAAATTTTATTAAGACGCTAATAAAAGATAAATATATAACGATAAAATATGTTGTTACTAAGTATTAACATATAACAATCATTGCAAATTGTGGATGTCAAATTGATTTGTTTATTTATCAATTGTACTAATAAAATTATTTGTTACAATTTTTATGTTTTATTTATTAAGTATAAATTATTATGGTAAATGATATGCATAATATGTATATATTTATATGAAAATAAACATTCGACGAATATTGTTGAGCACCATTAATAATAAACACTATTAATTTAATTTATAAAAATTTAAAATTCTAAAATATTCAACTTATAATTATAAATTAATTTAAAATTTAGAGGTAAATTATTTAAATAGTAAAAAAACATTTAGGGGTTTTAATGAGTAAAATACACATTTAGCACCTAAATTTTTACTTTTGTTCCGTTTTAATACTTAAATGTTTAATTTATTCAAAATCATATATAAGATTTATTTTTTGTTTTATTTTAATACACCACCTTTAAAACTTAACGGTAAGGCTGATGTGGAATTATTTTTATTTTTTTATATTTCCCACGTGTTTTAATGATGTCTCTTTATATCGTTCTCTCTTACACCGCATATGCTTTGAAGACAAACCCTTCACCTTTGTGTTTACTTTCTCTCTCTAGACTCTACAGATATAAAGACTGTTTCTATCAAAGTTTTTTTTTTTCCTTTTTCAGGTTTCAATTTCAAATCATTTTTGCTTAGCTTTATCTCACCATGTTTTCATCATTTTTTGGGATTTTAGTTTATTGCAAATTAGATCAACAACTAGGTTTTGCATGGGATTTTTGTTTTTTTTCCGTATCGGGGGGTTTTGAGAATGAATCAAAGTTCCTTGAGAGTTTGAGATTATGTTTTCTTTTTGTTGCTTTTACTGCTAAAAAGAATGTAAAAGTCTGAGCTTTATAGATTCGCATGTGTTCATTTGTTTTTCGAATGTTTTTTCATATATGCAAATATCCATATATGCGTCGAACACGAGTTTCTAAGAAAAATGAAGAGTTAGGTAGGCAATAGTGGCTCTATGTGTTGCCATCAATGAAAAATAAACTTATTCAAAGTTTTAAAATTTGTAGCAAATGTTGTTGAATTTTACGTGAGCTGGTTCTGAAATATGGTTTCTGCATCTGTAGAGAGAGAAAGCATATATGTAGTGTAAGAGAGGAAGATGATGAAGAAGCAATGTTAAAACACACGTGGAATGTAAAAAACATTAAAAAAAATTCCACATTATCCTTCCATTATGTTTCTAAAGCTAGGGTACTAAAATGAAATAAAAAATAAACGTTAAGTATGATTTTAAAAAAATTAAAAGTTTAGGTACTAAAATGAAACAAAAGTGATAGTTTAGGTACTAAATGTATAATTTACCCTTTTTATTTTAAATAATTTATCTTTAATTTTTTAACTACTCAAGTGAGGTTATAGGATATCATGGAGTTAGAACAATGGACTAATTTATTCCTACAGGCTGCACGTATTTAAGAACATTTATATCTAGGGTAAATTATATGTTGAGTACCTAAACTATCACTTTTAGTGCGTTTTAGTATTTAAACTTTTAATTTTTCTAAACGACACTTAAAGTTTATTTTTATTTCATTTTAGTATCCAACTACTAAAAATTTTAGTTATTGTTTTATTTTAATACCTCGTTCAAAATTTAACGTTAAATTTTAAAAAAATCGAGAGTTTATGTACCGAGACCATTAAAAACATAGGAAGAGCTCGTAGTTAATTTGTAAACACCGACTTGAATTCAAAAACCATTAAAAACATCATCGGATACTTTTTGTTCTGTTCTGTTCAAGGGCGGCTCAAAAGATACGAAACTTGGCAGGTCAACAAACCATGTGCTATTTTAAGAATAAAGTTTAATTAAGATTTTTTTAAGGCATTATAATAATTGGTAATGATCAGTTCAATTAGGCTTAAAGCTAAAGAAATTTGTCAGCATGTGCTTACACATGAGATTGAGAGAAAGAAACTTAGAATACACAAGGGATGTGTATGTTCCATGTCATATGTGAGGTGCTAGTACAGCCAATGCTCCTTTGTATATATTCTTCAAGGGCCAATGCTCCTATTTTAGACTTTTAGTTGTCGGAATGTAGACCCAAAATCTAATACATTTGGATTCAAAATGCGAGGTCTGCTAGTAGAGCAACAGCCCAGTTAACTCAACACAAAAAAGGCTTAAAAGAAACCCAACATTAATGCTGAAACCTCCGCTCCTGCTGGACAGTTTGGTGTTGAGATCGCAAGTCTTTTTCTGATCTAATTGTAATTGCAGAGCTTGCGAATATTGATCGGAAAGCCAACGCTTTCATCCCCATCAACCAACTGTTTCATGCCCACCACGACAGGTTCATCAGCGTTTTCGAATCCCAAAAACTGTCTCGACACGTAAATTTAGCAAGCCCTCGTCAATTTATGCAACAAGTACACGTAGGTAAGAATTTACCGGTTTGTAGATACTCATTTTAGTCCATATATATTATATATATATATATTATATAGTTTACAAATGGTTTTTAGAAATACGTATATAATATATAATTTTTAAAATTTTTTGAAAATATATATAATATATAGTTTTAAAAATATTTTGGAAAACATATATATAATATATAATTTTTTGAAAACATTTTTAAATATGTATAATATATAGTTTGAAAATGTTTTTGAAATTTTGAAAACATTTTTAGAATATATATAATATATATTTGTTTTTATTATTTTGTTTCATTTTTATTTTTTATTCGTTTTAATTTTTTATTTATTTTATTCTTTCGGCTTTTTTCAGGGTCCAACTCCAAGGTCCATATTAGTCCAAATAGCTCCACAGTCCGGGTCCAATGGAAACCAAATCGGGTTTGGGCCGAGGTCTCGAAGCGCACCGTTAACGAGCTGAAGAAACTCAAGTACGACGTCACGATGACGAAGCGTTGCGAGAAGATGAAGAAAGGGTCGACGAGATCCACGTTCAGCAACTTTATCGTATCCCTACATGGTCCGACTGCGATTGTAAATTCTGCAATTCTTGGGCCTCTTCCAGCAACGACACTCTCTTCGTCAAGGCTCAAGCACCAACGGGTAAAAAATGGTTATGGTCGACTGAATCAAATATGATCCGAATCCGCTAACTTCATTATATTACTGTGATTTCAGATAATAAATCACGAGAAGATGTGATATTCATCCATGGCTTCATTTCATCATCAGCATTTTGGACTGAAACTTTATTCCCCAACTTTTCGAGCACCGCGAAATCGACTTACCGGTTCTTGGCAGTCGATCTTCTCGGGTTCGGGAGAAGTCCGAAACCAGCCGACTCTCTGTACATCTTGAGGGAGCATGTGGACATGATCGAAAAATCCGTGCTTGAAGATTACAAAGTAAAATCTTTCCACATTGTGGCTCATTCCTTAGGCTGCATCTTAGCTCTTGCTATAGCTGTAAAACACCCGGGATCGGTCAAGTCATTAACCCTGCTTACACCGGTAAATTTCATTTCATTTTACCAAGTGTAGGTAAAAAGATTTACCGATTAATAATAAATATTATACATGAACATTGGCAGCCATACTATCCGGTGCCAAAGGGTGAAGCTGCAACACAATATGTCATGAGAAAATTAGCCCCACGACGAGTGTGGCCGGTGATGGCGTTTTGTGTATCTCTGGCTTGCTGGTTCGAGCACATCAGCCGGACGATTTGCCTCGTCATATGCAAGAATCATCGGCTATGGGAATTTCTCACCAAACTTGTCACCAGAAACAGGTGAATTGAATTTCGTCAATCCTAATAGTTTACCAACATTTTACCAACATTCTTAATCTGAAACAATCAATGACAGTTCCATCAGCATCAGCTTCATTTATGCTACGCTTGTTGATATTGACCCTCATCTACCAAATGTCCCCTAAATTTCAATGCATTTTTCTTCTTCTGTAGGGTGAGGACATTCTTGATGGAAGGGTTCTTTTGCCACACACACAACGCTGCCTGGCATACGCTTCACAACATTATGTGTGGCATTGCGACCAAGCTCGACCTCTACTTGGACGTCGTTCGCGACCGACTGACCTGCGACGTCGCCATATTTCACGGCAAAGATGACGAAGTAATCCCTCTCGAGTGTAGCTTCAATGTCCAAAGAAAAATCCCTCGTGCTCGAGTTAAGGTCGTCGAGAACAAAGACCACATTACGATCGTTGTTGCCAGGCAAAAGGCGTTTGCCAGGGAACTTGAGGAGATTTGGAATGCATCATCAACGAGTAATTAAAAAAACCCTTCAGTTAGCTTGGAATGGTCTACTCGATTGGGGTTAAATTAAAGCGCAATTTATTTTATTTTATATAAATTTATTAAATCATTTTCATAACAAAATTTATAGTATTTATTTTAAAATTTATAAATTTTAAATTATTTGACATTGAATTAACTTGTTAATTAATATATCATTATAAAACATAATTTATTTTTAAAAAATTCAATAAAATGATATGAATCCTAACTATCGTGCAAATCAACATTCAAAGTAATTCTAAAATAAACTATTTTGATTTTTTTTAGATTTAACACAATTCTAAATTACTTCATCCTTAAGTAGATAATTATGTTTTAATGTATTTAATAATTTAAACCCATGATTTTATGAATGTTTTTATAACAACGATGTAAATCAAATTAATATTCAATCAATAAAATTATATTACTAAAATTTAAGAATAATATGCAAGTAAAGCAGTAAACCAAAGGCCAAAAGCCTACCACCTTGGCCATGGTAAATGTGCAGTTCAAGTCATCAGTATCGTGTCCCATAAAATTTGGGAAACTCGTGGATTCGGGCAAACAAATTTATTGTCGGCTGTCCAACTTGCGATGGATATTCTCTTAAAGAAGAGGAGATTTGTACGAAGAAAATTGGTTAGGACTGAAGCACCAACTTTTACGGCTTGTGGCAATAGTTAGTACCCTTGTCATTCACCTGACTTTGATGGATGAATCTTCCGATATAGATTTTCTACTTACATAATAACTCGAATTCGAGACATTATTGTGTTTTCCGAAAGAAAAACCAATCGAACGTGTATCGGCACAAATAGAACTGTTAGTTCACTTAGCAAAATTTTGTAGATTAAATTTACTTCTGGGGTTTTCCCCCTCGCCTTATGTTCATCCAGGTTGTGTGAAAGACATAAACCTAAAGAGACTCTTTTTCTCCATATATTGTCGTTAAACTGTAACCCACGTGTACTAGGTGCTTAAGATGTGTACTAAATATCATATTTAATTAATATTTTTAAATAATTTAATATGATTACAAGATATTATCTGTTCAGAATCTTTTTTAATCATCGACAACGTATATGTCTTATAAGCGTAATTACTTGAACTTAAAATGTAACAAGCAGTTATATTCTAATTATATAATATCTCTAATAGGTCAACACTGATCGTCATCAATTATCATTGAACTCTAAAATTGTTTAACAATTCTTTTCAAACCATTTAATATAAAATTTGATGTCTGCTTTACTAAAAAAATATTTCAATGTTGACAAATCTAATTCAAAATCATTCGTCTCTATTAATTTAATCTCCTTCGTCCGATGTCGGATCGGATAAAAAAGATAAGACTTTTTTTTTCATTTTTTTCATTTAATTTAAAATTTGATGTCTGTTTTACTTTTAGTTTAGTGAATTTAGGGTTTGGATGGTTAATGTCAAGTTGGGTAAGGTTAGATGGATTTTCACCCTAAGATTTGGGTCGATTTCGAGATAGGTGAAACTTTTCTAAAATCAGATCGAGTTAAATATCGAATGGAGGTATGAAATTCTTGAGCCAGAGTTGAGACAACTAAAATGTGACCTTATTCAGTCCATATGCATCCCTAGATAAAATTCTAGGGTTAATAGTGGCTTTGGCCCCTTAAATGAAAAAAAATATAATTCTAGTCTTCTTTTACAAATAAATTGTCTTTTAAAATTATAATCTTTATATATGATTTTGGTTGAATTATGTTTTAACCCTTTAACAGTGATAATACATTAATTTTGTTTCTCAAAAGTTATAAACTAATGCAATGATAAAATTAATTTTTGTTTTTTTTAACTTTTATAAATGAATTTAATACATTGACAACAAAGTTTTTTCTTATATACATACATACACACCATATCATTAACCTTATAATTTGAACTCTCAACTTAAGTTAAGGAGTGAACTTATACCTGATTTTTAACTTTACAAATAAGTAAAAGAAATGGATTATTCTTTTTTACATACCCTAAAGTATCATCTTCCTAATTTGTTTATGAAATTTGAAAACTTCAAATAATTACACATATAATATTAAGGGTAAACTACTTCAAATATCACTCACATTTAACCTCAGGCTCGTTTATGTCACTAACGTTTCAATTTTGCCAATTTTAACAATGACGTTTATGTTTAATTACAATTATACCACCCCACCGATAATCCATTAACGGGACGATGACATGTCATCTCCATTCCATGACGACGATGACGTGGCTCCCTCACCGAAACGACGTCGTTTTGATGATCAAAAAGCTCAAAATGATGTCATTTTGTTGATGAAAAAATGATTTCAATGAGATTATGCATGAATGAGATTTTCAATTTGATACTCAATGTCCTTGTTAAGGAAGATTTTGTTGAGTTTATAACTTCATAAGTTAGCTTGGTGGTTGGGTGTTTAGTTTTGGTTTTTAAATGTCTGTGGTTCGAATCTCATTGAAATCATTTTTTCATCAAGAAAAAGACATTGTTTTGAGCTTTTTGAGTATCAAAACGGTCGTGCCAAAACGACGTCGTTTTGGTGAGGGAGCTATCTCATCGCCGTCACGGAACGAAATGCAATGTCATTGTCCCGTTAATGAATTAACGGCGGAGTGACATAATTGCAGTTAAACATAAACATTAGTGTTAAAATTGATAAAATTAAAGCGTTAATATCATAAACGAGCTCGAACTTAAATGTGAGTGGTATTTGAAGTAGTTTACCCTAATATTAATATCACTTCCTGCAAGTAAAAAAATGTTATTGTTTCATCTTTACCGAAGAGAACACCAATATCAACGGAGGATACAAATTAACCGGACACAAGTCTTTTCACAAAATGGGGAAGTACTAATTAAGGAATACAGAATCTACATTTTTTTTCTTTCTTTTTCATATGAACCCAAGAGGACAATAATTTCTAGGAAAGAGATTGTGAGTCTTAATTAAGTGTATACAAAATATATCCAATGTCAATCTCCAAAAGAACCTCCACATCACAATTGATATGTCTATGAGCTTTCAAATTAATTGTTTTAAGGATACACTTTCACTATCAACTTAACGATATTTTAGTCATTTGAAATCGATTTCGATATCTAATATCAAGTTTGAAATGATGTTTTTTTATTAGTATATTACATATTTGATGAAAATTATGATATGCTATGTTATTGCAAAATGATGTCTGAATTGACATGGTGATGAAAAAATATATATATTCATGCATATAACAAGCTAGTTTATTAACTGTACTCAAGTGCTAACAACATTGATCAATTGTTTCACCGCTTGGTGCATGCAAGATGGTGGACCATGTGGAAGAGGTTAAATAATTGCATGAACATCTAAACATGAGAAGAAAGAAGACAAAAAGAGCATCTCACCGGTGACCCGAGAGCTAGTTCAACGAGCATCTTTGGAGGATAGCATTGCTAAGCACTTCCTCGCTTATAAATATTCCGGTGGGAACTTTGACGACAATATCTTGAAGCATTAGATCGTTGACGTTCGATACGCTTGCATGGTGAACATGAAGCTCTAGGTCTCGAAGAGCATCCATCAATCTGGCGGCCGGATAATTTATATCCGGACTTTGAACTCGAATCATAGCTTCAGATCCCACGATCTTTACATCGACTTCCGCCGTCTTTGGCCAAAAACTAGAGGACTGCTTGATCGTACTGTCGAATGTGGGTTTTGTGCTTTGGTTTTCGAAGACGTTGATGGGATTCAACTTTGGTTTCTGGGATTGTACCAAGAGTTCAGTCTCTAATTTGTCGATCCTTGATCTCAGTTCCTTGATGTAGGCTACTGCATCCGAAAGCAAAGATGCTTTATCCATCTTCGATACGTTTGGAACGACGGATCGGAGTGTGTAGAACCGGTGGTTTAGCCTCTCGCGCCGCTGCCGCTCTGCTTCGACGTGGTTTATGGGTGATTCTTTCCCACTCCCCGGTTTGCGTCCCCTCTTTTTCGGTCGGCTGCTGTTAGACTCCGTGCCTTCAGAGGCGAAATTGTTATCGGAATCAACACCGGAGTCCGGTGAAAACCGGTTTAAACTTGGAATCGGATCCTTTTGGTCACCTGAAACCATTCCGAAATCGAGAAAAGGGATACCGGTGGTCGAAATCTTGACTTGAGATTCATGGCCTGTGGCCTGCTTTGAACTGAATATTGATTTACAAAGTTGCACCGTGCCCCAGTCTTCCACGATCATCTCCGAAGATCCCAACTCGATCACTCCAAGGGGTGTGGGAAGACACAGTAGGGTCTGAATCCCTCGCATTCGAGCTTCTCTAACTCGCTCACATGGGTACGATTGGAGTTCATGATCTCCACTCAACCAAATATGCAAGCCTGAGCCAAAAGCTTTCCCGATAATGCCGTCTCCAACAGCAAAGGATTGAGTCATCGATACAGTATAGAACCACTCGTAGTCGGTGAGATCGCCGCAGTCGCCAGCACCAGCGCCATCCACCATTCGGTCCATGTCCAATTCGGTAAAAAAATCTTGCACCTCTTTTCCCGATCCCTTCCTCTGTTGGATCATTTTATTGCAAGATTTGCCTGTAAAGTCTCGTGTCCCACGGAAATAGCCATCACCCCATGATAAAACAACGTGAGCTTGAGCATCCCTTGAAGCTTGCCAGAAAACGGAGTAAACCCACCATTCAGGCCTTCTTTGGACGATGAATTGGAGGCGTTGTTGCAGCGTAGGTGACGCATCTGGACCTTGGGTAATCAGAGAAGACGGTGAAGAGCAAGCCATGATGATGTTGAATATGACTCGGCTGCACGAAGAATATATAAGGAGAAACGAAAACGATAACAGTTATGTAGTAGTAGAAGGAAACGCCAAAGAGAGATTAATGAGTGATTCGGTTGGGATGTTCGGATAACACAAGTGTTCTCTTGGCCATTAAAGGACCATTTCTTATAGTACTATTGTTGGTCAAAATCTTTACACCGTAATCACGTGGATATCTTATTCTAGATTCCCACGAAAATACCATGGTGTTCGCGGTCGGTTTGGATCAGTTCGAAAGTATAAATATTTATGGTTTGGATCGGTTTGGATGTTTTTAAAAAGAAAATCTGATCCAATCCGATCCAATTAAGTGTGGTTTTTAGATTATAATTTTTTAAAATAATTCTTGAATTTTTTTCATAAAAAAAGCATATGTATAACAAAAGCAAAGAGAATATATATTTTAATAAATGCAAGCTTGTAAAGCTTATAAAGAGAATATATATTTTAAAAAATTAAGAAAAGAATTAGTTTCTCGTCAGTAAGTCAACCATAAAAATAAAACGATACATTTTCTAAGTTTTGCCCGACAATTTTCTCTCTATCTCAGAACTGAGGAAATACCAAAAGACTATACTATCATTCTTTGTTATTATCATTTATTGCACCATTTTTTTCATTGGCATCGATACTAGAATCTGGAGCAAAATTGTTACGTGATGTCGAGGAAACCTGATTTTGTATCTGAGTTTTGTGAGATTTTGTGGGGCTTTTGATGGGTTTGTTTCAAGCTTGTAAATTCAATATTCCATTTCATCGGTTCGGTTCGGTTTGGATCGGTTCTGGATTTTCAAACCGAAACCGAACCGAATCGATCGGTTTAAAAAAAACCAAACACACTAAATCTATTTCGGTTTTTTTCGGTTATCAGTTATTTTTTTTGGATCGGATTGGATCTGAACACCCCTAACCATCATACATGATGGTTCTAGGAGGAACGGATGAGGCGATTTCTCTTAAAAATTTTAAATTTTTTGATTATTTTTTTTTTCGTCCTAAAGATATATACTCACTTTCTATCTCTCAAATTCTATAAATATATTCTACTAATACAAATTCTATGTCTATCTATATCATTGTGATCTGATTAATTAGATTTTAGGGTTTACTCTTGACGACTTACACTTTCCACTAGTAGTAATTTTCCCACTTCGAAATCACACTAGTTATGGGAGATTTCGTGCTCATCTTTTCCTTCTTTGTTATTTCCCATTATATTTTTCCTTTTATTTCCCAGGAAGATAACATTTTTTTTTTTCATAATTTCTTGTAACTTTCTTAAGATATCTGTCATCATCGTTAAATTGTCGGTGCATGAAGAGATGCATGTAGAATGCTTCAAAGAAAGTTCAAAATCAACATCAATGCTTAAATGTTTTATTTCCTTATTAGGTTTTTCCTTTGGGGACCATTGAAGTAAAAATTAAGAATGGGTACCCTTAACCTTATCAGTCTAATTATTGCTAATGCTTTTAGTGCAAACTTTGAATTCGTTACTTAATATAGTATTTGTGTTATTAATATAATAAAAATTGGGATAAATTACGTATTTAATCGCCCCTCTATTCTCGGGTTTATGTTTTAGTCATCAAACTAATTTTTTCAAAAATTATATCTACACTTACATTTTGATCACCCATCACTAAAAAATAAATGAAATTATTGATTTGACAATTTATATACCCATTTTAATAATAACATAACATTATCTTATGATTACACGTCATCACTGTTAGTTTTTTTTACTCAACAAAATAAATTTATTAATGATTATTTGGATTGTGTGCCCAGCTGAAAACCTATCTAGATCTAAATGGAGAAAAAGAGTACAATACAACCATGGATGAATTCAAGACAAAATTCTCGAGAGATTAACCAACAACAAATGAATTCAGAACAAGTCTAAAAAGATAAAAATAAAATAAAACAAAAAAGTGAAAAGTCAACACCAAGCTTTGAAGAAACCATCTCTCGTTATAAATCACCGTTTATTTTTTTAATTATGAGTGACTAAATAAAACAAAAACATAACATTAGCTACAATTTAATAAAAAAATAACTTTGCGATCAAAGTAATATCGCGAGAATATATGAATACCAAATATATAGTTTCTCTTAAAAATTCTTGTATAATTGAATTTGAGTATACGATGACGTATTATTGATAACACTGTCACATCAAATAACATCAAAAATCTTAGGTTAACATCTCTCTCTGGAGGATCCTTTAGTACCAAAATTCTATGTATATGCAATTCAAGCACATGAAACATGCCCTAGCTAGATGATGAATTTCGTATTATTAGACAATAGTGTGTTTGACCAGTTATCTCTTGTTTGTCTTCTATACATGATCTAATCTTCTTATCAGCATTGATTTTGTGTTGATGTATCATGTTCAGGACAAGAGAGTGGACCATTGAAGAACGAATTCTTTTTTGCCTTAAATTGTAGGGTAAATTACGTATTTAGTATCTAAACTATTTTTTCAAAATTATACTTAAATTTTGGTTTTTGTTTCATTTTAGTACCCTTGTTCAAATTTTAAAGTTAAATTTTGATTTATTGTTGAAAATTTAGGTACTAAAACGGATCAAAACTGATAGTTTAGGTACTAAATACATTGAGTTTTTAATAGTGGTGTACTAAAATGAAACAAAAATTAAATATTAGGTATGATTTTAAAAAAATTAAAAGTTTAAATACTAAATTAATTATTTTGAACATCTTTCTCTTTTTTCTTTACACAGAGATTTATTAATTTTTTATTTGGTTTAAATAAAAAATAAGTAACTAAATTATATTCTTTCTCTCGAATAATTGTCTAAAATATTTTTTGATTCATCTCGATACCTCATGTTACAAACATTAATATTTTGAGCATAGATGATCTTATAAAAATTTGAATTTAAATTTTAAATTTATCAAATATCACTTTGTTAAATTATGTACATATGATTATTTTTTTTAGATTTAGAATTATGCAAATACAATATTAAAGTGGATGATTTGGGAGGTTGAATTTCTCAACTACATCCTATATAAATAATGGGTAGAATATTCTCATAATTTAAAAAGTATTATTATGATGGGTAGAATACTAAATCAATATTCGTTTAACTTATATTATTCACAATTTCAAAATAATTATTATTGTAATACCCTACTTGATTTGGACGTCGAATTGAACAAGTGTTATTACTTTCTTCTAAATCAGTTTCAGACTCGATTAAATTTTAAAATTATACTTATAAGATATCAATCACAACAAGAAGGATCAATTTGCATACAAATTAAACATTCAAGGCTTATAAACATATTATAAACATAACAAGTGACCTTTAAACTTGCTCCATACATTAAATCATATTTCAAATAAGGATTTAGCATGCCTTGCTCTTTTAGTATAATTTATGCACCTAAACTTGTCAAAAACACTTCTATATATGTCATAATCATATTAAAAATGATCCCTAACTATTTCCATCAAGTTTGTTATATTCACACCATTAAAACATAGATAGCAAGTCAAATGTATAAACACAGTAAAATTTAGCACATGGAATTCTTTCCATGCAATTATGCAACTCCCTTGACTAGTGTGTGTAAAATTTAGCATGAACCAAATGACATCGATGATATATGAATTGTTGTTATTCCTTGAGATCCCGAGTTCGAGCACCAGTAATGTCAGAGAATGAGCGTTTAATGTTAAATGATTAAAAATTATATTTGAACATATACTAGATTATACTTATTCCTGTAACAGACAAATGAACTAGTTATCGATATAAGATCTATCATTACTAGGGGTGAACATATACTAGATTATACTTATTCCTTCTTTGCTATTATCATTTATTGCACCATTTTTTTTCATTGGCATCGATACTAGAATCTGGAGCAAAATTGTTACGTGATGTCGAGGAAACCTGACTTTGTATCTGAGTTTTGTGAGATTTTGTGGGGCTTTTGATGGGTTTGTTTCAAGCTTGTAAATTCAATATTCCATTTCATTGGTTCGGTTCGGTTTGGATCGGTTCCGGATTTTCAAACCGAAACCAAACCGAATCGATCGGTTTAAAAAAACCAAACACACTAAATATGTTTCGATTTTTTTCGGTTATCAGTTATTTTTTTTGGATCGGATTGGATCTGAACACCCCTAACCATCATACATGATGGTTCTAGGAGGAACGGATGAGGCGATTTCTCTTAAAAATTTTAAATTTTTTGATTATTTTTTTTTTTGCGTCCTAAAGATATATAAACTCACTTTCTATCTCTCAAATTCTATAAATATATTCTCCTAATACAAATTCTATGTCTATCTATATCATTGTGATCTGATTAATTAGATTTTAGGGTTTACTCTTGACGACTTACACTTTCCACTAGTAGTAATTTTCCCACTCCGAAATCACACTAGTTATGGGAGATTTCGTGCTCATCTTTTGCTTCTTTGTTATTTCCCATGATATTTTTCCTTTTATTTCCCAGGAAGATAATATTTTTTTTTCATAATTTCTTGTAACTTTCTTAATATATCTGTCATCATCATTAAATTGTCGGTGCATGAAGATATGCATGTAGAATGCTTCAAAGAAAGTTCAAAATCAACATCAATGCTTAAATGTTTTATTTCCTTATTAGGTTTTTCCTTTGGGGACCATTGAAGTAAAAATTAAGAATGGGTACCTTTAAGTCTATTTATTGCTAATGCTTTTAGTGCAAACTTTGAATTCGTTACTTAATATAGTATTTGTATTATTAATATAATAAAAAGGATAAATTACGTATTTAATCGCCCATCTATTCTCGGGTTTATGTTTTGGTCATCAAGCTAATTTTTTCAAAAATTATATCTACACTTACGTTTTAATCACCCATCACTAAAAAATAAATGAAATTATTGATTTGACAATTTATATACCCATTTTAATGATAACATAACATTATATTATGATTATACGTCAACATCACTTTTAGTTTTTTTTTACTCAACAAAATAAATTTATTAATGATTACTTGGATTGTGTGCCTAGCTGAAAACTTACCTAGACCTAAATGGAGAAAAAG